TAAAGTGTTGATTTGCCTTTTGTGACAGGCTGACCTGCAGGCCTGAAACCCCGGGGCCTGAGCGGGGTGTGGTTGATGATTGGAGACACTGACTGCACGTCACAGTTGTGCTTTAGATTTCAGACAACTTTCAAATCATTCTGACCACAGGGCAAGATTTTCATCCCCCCGTCACCAAAGGAGTGATGTGTGCCCTGCTGACTGGCCTCCTCCTCCTCCTCCTCTACCTCTGTCATGGAGCAGATCAGCTGGCCATATCTAAATATCATTATATCTGCAGTATGTCCTCTTAAGTCAAAATAATTCTCATTTTATGTGATTATATAAAGACACACATGCTCTTTTAGATGTTCATCTGAGCCTATATTGTCAATTTTCTGTGAATTTTTATTTATTTATTTATTTTTTACATCTGCGTTGTGCATGTTTTTAGTTCATATTAATCAAAACAATTCATTAAAAAATGTCTCAGCATCACCCAACAGTTGTAAGAAGCTTCTCTGCACAAACTGTATGATTCCCAATTAAATTGAATCCCACTCACTAGGCCACTCTTATTGGAGCTGCTGGAGTCACAGGAGAGCGAGCGGCTCAGTCCCACCGTCATTACACAGGCTGAGAAACAATGCATGTTTCCAAAACAGATCTACAGCAGTCATCTCTGATAGATACAAGTAATCTACGGGAGTCCCTTTGTTTTCCTGCAGGCCTCTCCATTCAGAGTGCTCTGGGGCTTCAGAGGGAGCCATTCTTATGCTAACAAGCAACTGTGTATCTGTCCCGAGCCCAGACCGCAGCTCCCACTCAGCGGCCTGCACTGTAGGAATTAATCGTCTCTCTCATCTCTTTTTTTCTAATTTGGAAAATTATTTTAAACCACCCGAGGCGTTTCTTTTTTTTTGTTAAAAACTCATTTAAAATGTTTTAGTTTTAATTCGTCTGAGAACAGCGCTGTTTTTTGAAAATTCAAGACAAAAACATACTTTTTTCTCCATTTTCTGTCGCTTTGCCTTCTGCGTTGTCACGTCGTTGCATATAAAAATTAATAAAACGTCTGAAATGCTTTATTTTGGTTGCAGTTCATTATAAACAAAGCTGCCAAGTCGACAAAGTCATTCGTTTTCTCTGCAGAGTTTTCTCTGCAGAGCAAGGCCTCTTCTTCTGGGTGTGGACAGGTAAAGCTCCTCAGGCCCACCCCCTTTTCTTCCAAGGTATATATGACCATCCCATAGATTCTTATAGGAGCTTCTGCTTGTCCACTTTGCATCTGTAGTCCACATCACTCCTTTTAGAGTGAGGAAAAGAGATTTGTGGAATCCTGGAGCCAGTGGAGCAAACAGCAGCAGCTCTGCTCAATCTCAGTGCCAACATGTTGTACCTGGAGACGGGGACCACAACTTCTTACAACGAGGTAAGAGCAGTGCGGGAAACAGGGCATCAGCCTTCGCTTCCATTCTTTGGTCCCCCAGCCTCCCTGGCGTGAAGGACACATCAGAGAAAAAGGCCTCGTAGTTTGAAGCGTAGATTTTATGCCACTATTTAACGTTCCGTAGATTGGATTTGTGTATTCGTCTAACTGAGACATAAACTGCAGATGTGACAGTCCAGAGAGCAGGGGAATGTAAACACAAATCTGGATATTTCCTTCTTGTGAAATGGCTGCTGTGTGTGTGTGTGTGTGTGTGTGTGTGTGTGTGTGTGTGTGTGTGTGTGGCGGGAAAGGATTTAATCTGTTTCTATGTCTCAGAGTTTGTTTCTTGGTAAAAGTTGGAAAATTTGGGGGGACAAAACTGAAAATGGTTTTGATTTAACGTGGCGCCACGTTTCTCTTTCCATTAAATCTTCTGTTCTGTTGAAACCAAAGACAACAAAAGTTTAAAGAGTAAAATGTGAGGAAAAAGTTTTTAATAGATACATATTCTTTAAAAAAAATGAAAAAAAAATCTGTTCCTGTAGATTCATATTTTACCCTAAGAGGGAAACCATAATTGTTGCCTTATCTGTGTTTGCCGAGCTCGATGGCAAACATATCATCTTAGCTTTATTTTCTTCTTTTTCAAATATGATTGACAACCCGAACTCTAAGTTAAACAATTCAATCTCAGCTCTTTTCCTTGGATCGTGCTTTTGCTTTTCCATATATATGTCTGTTATTTCTTTTTCTTTCTTTCTTTTTTTTCCCACTAACTGAATTCCAAACCAAAGCTAACGCCGAGCGGTGATAGATTCTCAGATTGCAGGTTGCGGATAGCAGGTGTGTCAGTTCGCTGTCTTTTTAAGTTGTTGAGCAGGGGGTCTTTAAGTGGTGTCCAGGTCAGTGTGTGTGTCTGAGTGTGAGTGCGTGCGTGTGCGGGGTATCGGGTTCCCCCCGGTCCCCAGTCTCCTGGGAGCCGCTGCAGCCATTAGATGGTGGCCGGCCAGGCATTGCTGTTTTGTCCGGGGTCGTAATTGCTTTAATGGTATGTTGATGTAGATACAATCACCTGCTCTGCCCACCCCAGCAGGTATGAGGTGCCGATAGACCCCCACCCACCCAGCCCCACCTCACCTCCCCCCTCTCGGCCTTGTTGAGCCTTTAATGTCTCCCTCCCCAGATGGTCTCATACGCTGGTCCAACGATGAGCGGGTCAGCGGAGAGCCTGGAATGAGCTCTTTCCCCTCAGGCTGGGTCTGATCTGGCTCCTGCTGTCTCTCAAGATTTGGCGTTATCAGTGTTTGCGCTCTGCGGCTACACAAAGCAGCAGCAACAGGAGGATTTTAGAAGCTCTAGATAGAAACTGTGGAGCTTTCAGTTGGTCAGTATAAGTGCTGAAAGAGTGTGGCGCTTCTGCTCCGCGTAGGGGACTGCTGTTACGTCTGTGGAATTTTCTGGGTTTATCAGAGACTGTGATCTGTGTTCTCACAAAGAAAACAATCTCTGCTGCCTCGCGATGCTGCTGATAATGACACTCGCGCTATTAAACTGATGAGAAACGAGTCAAAAGCACCGAACCGACTCTTTAGACAAGAGTTTTGGCGGGAGTGCAGAGAGCATTTTCACCATTAACATTTCATATTTATTCAGTGAATTCATTTGGTCGCATACCCAGCGAGGAATGCATTGATTTGAATGCATGCACGCGCCGAACCCAACGCCGCAGCAGCAACTTCTAAATGAGCCCTGCCACGTGTATTTAAAATATCCCTGCTATGTGTTGTGGGTAATTCAGGCAATCGCTGTGAAGGTCAACAGTGTCCTTTTGCCGCTGGTCTGAAGCGTTAGCCCAGCATTTTCTCTCAGACAAAGAAATGAGCTCTCAGGCCTCGAACAGAAAGCGCAGCTTTTTGTAAACTTTATTAAAGGCTGCTGCTGATTTACTGCGCTTCTGCTTTGCACAGCCGTGGCATCCCAGAGGCCTGAACACAGCGTCAGCTATAAACAGAAGGAATTTTTAAGAGCTGCTAAAGTGGTTATTAAATGCTGGCTGTATTATAGTGGAATAAGATCTGATTAAAGGAAATGAAGAGAAGGCCTGAAAGTCCCTCACGCTGCCCTTTCTAAAAGCTGATATCCTGCTTCCAGCCAATTAAACATTAAAACGCGATGAGTTCAGGTGAAACCTCGCTATCTGGTCAATTACAGCTTTATCCTCAAATCCTCATCTTTGATCCTGATTTTCACTTACACCACGAGAAGCATTATCTCAGGCCCTGTATTTAATGTTAAGTAGTCTACGTCAGCCTGTCTGCTTTATGCTTCTGCTTTTATCTATGTTTGGTCTGAGGCCACCATCAGCCTTTTCTTTAGAATAATCATTTGGCATTGATAATTGGTGCCTGTCAGATCCACCATAGCAGCTGCCAGCATCAGGTACTGGGGGAGGCTGTGTCATCTCTCAATGGCTGAGTGCCTCAGTGGAATTGCACCATAGTTCAAAAGAATCACTCTGATATCACCATCGCTCGCGCTTCATTTACGGGAAAACGGTGTACAAACAGGAAATAAATCCACCGAGCTCGTTCCCATGGGAAACGGGGATTATTTTCATTTTTAAAATATGCGTAGGTGGGGAAAAAAAGAACTTTGTTTTTCTTACCATCCATTTTTCCCCCTGATTAGATCCACAGAGCCACTCTTAGACCTGTAATACGTGCGTATAATCAGTCATTTGTGTGAGAGCGTGTGTGTCCCCACTAAAAGCTGCAGGGGCTCCCCCAGGAAGGACTTTCTTTCTTTCTGTGCGTGCGTGTGTGCTCCATTCACAAAACACTTGTCTCTTAACACCTGCATGCCCGGCATAATTGTTTCACGCAGCCTCCTTATAAGCTCCGGTGTCATTGTTTCTGAGGGGCTTAAGCCCCCCTTCCTCTGCCAAACAGCCGCTCCCCTGTGGCGCTGCTGCACAGGTATGCCGAGGTTGACTCCAGTGACCTCTCTCAGGTGTGTCTATGGATCTGTGTGTAATAAAGCGGCATGGTTGATTCATAAGTCACTCCCTTGACTAATAGTTATCTAACCTACCAACCTAGTGTTTTGTTGATCATCTGGAGCAACACTAACACCTGGCAGGGCAGTGGGTGTGAGTCGGACAGCTGTGGCCAGCCGTGCTCGAAATAAACGAGAGGCCCTGGAAAGATTGATGGCCGTCTAAAGAGCACGAGCGATGGCACCTCTTCCAGGAATGTGCTGTTTATAAATGGAAAGGAATGAGGTGAATGGCAAGCAGAGCAAGCAAGAAGGGGCTGGCTACCACCCAGGAGTACTCTCCATCCTCTCTAAAGGGGACATATTTTAATTCCACTCGTCCTGTCTGAATATATGTGGGAAAAGAAATGGCTTTGTAGGGAGAACGTGTTTATTTCATGTGTTGTCTTAATCTTCTACCTTAATCACTGATGTTTGGATGAGGCTAACTGTTTTTATTTCTTTATTACAAAATTTGCACAAAACATTTCGTCTGAAGCATCTGTGACTGAACACCTTTGTCGCTCTTCCCCCTCCCCCTCCTCTCCATCTTCAGTCACAGTACACAAACCTGGGGCTCCTGAATGGCATGGATCAGAACATTCAGAACGGCGGCTCGACCTCCACCAGCCCCTACAACAACGACCACGCGCAGAACAACGTGACCGCCCCGTCGCCCTACGCCCAGCCCAGCTCCACCTTCGATGCCCTTTCCCCCTCACCGGCCATCCCATCCAACACAGATTACGCAGGCCCACACACCTTTGACGTGTCCTTCCAGCAGTCCAGCACAGCAAAGTCTGCCACCTGGACGGTAAGACCCGTGTTCGCTCAGTGTTTGTGGAGTCCTGCATAAAGTTAGCGGGGTTCCACTTCCTTTTCTGCAAGAGGTCTCGCATTAATGTCGTGCAGACCCCACTGATAGGCCTCTGCAGGTGGGAAAGATTTGAGTGAATATGATTTATTTCTTAATAATAATTGTGCTGAACTCACAAATTTGACCAGAGTGAGAAAAGACTCGGACTAAGAACATTTACCGAATATTTAATTGAAGTTAATTTTGTAATATTGATCAGATAAATGTGTTTATGGTTTAGTTTGCATTAACTAGAATAACTTTGCGCTTCACTTCTGATCAACAGGTGAGTACTGGAGGTTAAGAGAGTACACTAAGTAACACATGAACTTTTTGATTTAAATAAGATATACAGGAAGCTGGAATTTTACTTAAGTATAAAGACGGAAAATAGGGAGAAGAAGAAGAAAGACTCTGTTACACCATCTCCCATCGTTCCTGTCCTGCTGGACAGAGGCTGCATTCATGTTTTCTTTATCTTATGTTCCATAAATTATGTTTTTAATTACACATCATAACAATCAGCACTCAAGATAAAGATATGACTTTTATAGCTACAAAAGAATGAAAGCTTTTGTCATTTTTTTATTGTGTAATAAATTTAAATGTGCTGCCTGTCAGCCTAACCCATCATTGTAGGAGGTGATGATTTATCGGGGTGGAGGTTAAAGAGACACTTTCACCTATGAACTTCTTATCTGACTTCTGGCTGGGAAGAATGTCACCTGAGATATTTTTACATCAGGACTGAACCTCAGGGTTTTTAAGTTAACTTCTCACTGACAGGGGGAAGAGTGCATACACTGTCAAAATCATGGATGCACTCATTCATGTGATAGGAAATGTGTTAGCTTGAGTAAGTAAGGCTTGAGTTGTCTCACTTGACAGAAAATGTGCTATTTTCTCATATTTCGACCATTTTAGATACAAAAATGTCTGGGAATTGTTAATTTTAGCTAACCAAACTGCTAACAGTGCAGGTCATTTAGTGTTAAAACTTCTTGACAAAGCACCAAAAACAACTTTCTACAGGAAACCAGAGCCCTGCATGTGTGGCAGGTTAAAGTGAAAATGAAGAAGCTTAAACCTTTATTAGTCTCACAGTGACCTCACTCAAGTGAAATGTCCCTTTTCCTCAGAAGTCGGGTAAAGTTTACTGATGCTTTGTTGATGACAGAGGTAAACAGGTTGAATCGTTGCTCCTTTCCCGTGCAGCTAGATGTCACCATCCTCGACTCATTAAACAGACTCAACCGGCTCCTCTCGCTCTGTCATTACGCATCACAGGGCTGAGGGACAGCTGTTGCATCAGTGCCCCGCCTGCTCGGTTGTTAATGTGTGCGATCTGCGGCGATGCGGGAACAGAGGCGCAAGGTCGGTGCACTAATGCACTCTAGCGGACGAAATTGGCGGCGGCTTTTTGTCCCTGCGTCATAATTTGGGACAGCTGTCACATCATCTAGTGACGGCGTGGGCGTCAAAGGAAACCCCGTCTGTTCACATACAGAATCTGGGTGACGTAACTTTGTGACATGTCAGTTATTACATAACGGAGCAGAAAACGCTTAATACAGAAACATATTTATTAAAAATTTCCAATTAACAGTCAAAAATGCGGGCCGTTTGAGGAAAACCTGCTGAGCGCATTGATGCGCCGAATTTAACGTGCTGTAGCTTCCAGGCAAACTCAGGGAGTGCTGGGCGATCTCGCCTTACTCCTTGGCCACGCCGAGTGTGGGATCGTCACATTTGCCCAGTTCCCACAGTGCCTCAGTCATCCCTCTCATTTTCAGTCCAAAAACAAAAGTGTTTGTCTGATGTGCAACCGTGAGGTGGCTCACACTGTGGTTTGTGAGCGGCACGCCCCAGGCGCAGTCGTCCCGTCGTAGACACATGCAGGGAACCAACGATGTGTCCCACAGTCATAACATGATGCAAGACTGGTTTGATTGGTCTGGCTTAACATGGAAAAGTCAGGGATTGCTACTTACAATCATTGCACTGATTAAAGACTTAACTTTATTTAGTAGTTCAGAGTTTAAAAAAACATTAAAAATATTTTTAAAAACTCATTTTTTTGGTATAAATTCTATTTTTTAAAGTGCAGTCGCCCAAAGTCTCCACAAGGATAAGAAACGGGCACGAGCGCTAAAATATGAGAGCAGTAAACACAAACAAGTGCTGTTGTGCAACATCGTCTCGTACAGTTAACCAATCGAAATAACGTTTGTTCTCCTAGCGAAGGATGGGTAGCATTACAAAATCAGAGCCATTAAAAAGTAATTAGCATCACCTTTTGTGCAAAGCACCTCCTTACGATGACTTTTACATTAGCAAGAATAACAACTTTGCACACCTGTGGATAACCAGTCTGTGCACAGAGGCTGTGGAGCCAGTTGGACATTTAAATCAGCAGCACCACATAATCGACAACAAGCTTGTTCACTTCCCTCGGTGACAGCTAAACTCTAAGCTGTTCCTGTTTCAGAGCTGAAGCACCACCATCATTATCCTCCTCAACTGGCCACCAGTGTTGGTGGAGATTGCAAATGTGCTGCTGATATAAAGCTATTGCACTGGGAACAAGTAACTGAGCCCATTTGAGAAGTTAAAATACACGTCTGACTTAAATGTCAATTTATTTCCCTGTGGTAACAGAGGCGGGGAGGTTTCCTTGGTTCCTTTATTTACTGCAGACATGACACGTACTTCCTGTTGTTACGATCTATGTCCATGAAAACAAACACACAGACTGCTTTTTAATGACTGTTTTTAATTGGAGTTTGATTTTGACCATACATAAATAAGAGCCAGGAAGTGGATGCACTGCACTGCTTAGAGTTTAGAGCCTGTTTAGAGCGCTCATCTGGAGTTGGCCTTGAGAACAATAATGCACAAATAAATGATGACCAGCACGTGACTGATTGCTTGTAATGTTTTCTGTGAGGTCGGGCTGGTTCCACATGCTCTGTTGTTGTTTTTGTACCTCGCAGCCAGGTTAAATGTCACTCAACTCTGAAATGCAGTTGATCCTGTCAGAGAGGATTCGTTACAGCGTTTCCCCGCCGAACATCGTTTTGTTGATTTCCAGATTGGCTCATAGAGAGAGTCATTTTCGCTGGCTGCAGCTTCCAGTCTGATTCTAAAGAAGAGTGATTACAGCGTCGGTTCCCATCTCAAAGGAGGCTCCCTCTCCTGATCTCAGGAGATCTTTCGTAAAGCTCCCATAATCTCAGCCCAATAAGCTCAACTGCTGGACTGATGGACTGATGGCAGAGAGCCACCGTAGATGTCACTGCAGCTTTGCTCTGTGCATAGATCCACTAATGCCCCCTTTTTGAAGGCCTGTGGGATCTTCCACGGGGACTTAGTGGACTGTGTACTGTACTGTTTGATGACTGTTCTGATGGAGACACACCTAATCCCTAACCCACACCTTAACCTCTTCCTGTCTAGGATGAGGCACACAGCAAAAGGTGCAACACGTCAGTGTTTCCCAGAAACTGCTCCCACACGGTTTTCCTGCCGGCACTCCTGCAGCCTGCACGGCGTTCCCTCCCCCAGCGCTCGGTTAGAGAAAAACAATCGCCGGGTCAAACGAATACACAAGTTTAGAGATGTTTCATCTTCTTTGCGCCGCTAAAGGAGGCAGCCATTGTTGTCAGGGTAAAGACTAGTTGTGTTTGCGGTGTGTATTAACTGCCACCATATTTAGTCAAAGGAGAGGAATGTCATGGTTCGGGCTATCACTGGGACGCTGTTGAGCCCAGGGGGATTACAGTAATGGATTGAGGGCCTGTAGATAATACTTGTGTAAATACCGTGTGCCTCTTTCCTGAACCCTGTGCTCTTGGAGTGGGCTCTGTCTTTTTTTGAGAGAGTTAAGCTTGATGGTTGCATCTCACATTGCGCCGGAGGAGGAGGAGGAATGCTCAAAGAGAAGAGTGTTCTAGCGAAAGGCGGCAAGACGCAACTTGCCCATGGAACATCTGCGGGCCCGTCCCACGCCTCACGAGATGGGGCTGAGACTTGTTTGTGTCAAGAAGCTTGTCACGACTCGCCCGTCGCAGAGAGACAAACCCTGAAAGCTACAGATGGGAAAAGGTGGAGGGGAAAATTTTTAAAAAGGCAGAGTTGAAAAGGTTTTTATGATATGGGCTATGGGATTTCTCCATAATCTTCTCGGAAAAGCCCTTTCTTTTACAGTTTAAGTTACAAGATTCCTTTTTTTTCCGCTTTCTGACAGAGTACCTGCAGCAGTGATTTACAGCAACAGAAAGCAGGCTCATGCTGTGGCGGTATAAATATAAAAGGCAGATATTAGTCTGTCATCAGGGGGAAAAGGAGGAATTTAAATCAGACCTCACCAAACTGAGTTTGTTGGAGTGCTCTCAACACAGAAATCATTGTTGTGTTATAATTGAAGGTTGGAACGACAAAAAAGTGCTGGCAGCTCAAACGCTTCCTTCAAGGATAAGCAGATCAAACAGTTTTTGAAAATAATTTTAAGCATGTTTAGCAAACTTTGGCTGCTCTCCATCTGAAAAGAAAAGGAGAAAATCCTCGATTGCTTTTTTTTCCCCTAAACCTCTTCCCACCTGCTGTGCTTTCAGTTTTAAAGTTGAAGTTACAGTTGTTCTGCTGAAGACATTTGATTGGCAAATCCCAAGAGGGACAGATACATGTTTGACTCTTTCAACACCGGCTACGTGATGCTGCTTGCCCGGGGGCAGGTGTCATCCCTAAGATTGGGTGGTCGAGATTGGTGCTGATAGCTTCGGCCGAGCAGATTGTCCGCTAAAATGTTCAACTTTTCCCCCTGTTTTAGATTTAAGAAGCAGGTGCTTTGCTTCAGTTTCAGAGAAAAGTAGAGCGAGGGAGGAAAAGAACTCTTTGGATTATTGTTGAATTAAACAGGTTTGGGAGACGCTGTAGGCATGACATGACATGTCAGGTATGAAGAAGACAAGACCAGAGGCGCCAAACGTTGCTTGTTTAAGGCCTGATGTTTGTCAGGACTTGACTTCTGCATGCGCCCGCAGCGCCTGTCAGGTAGAAAGGAACGCTACAACTGTGGGCCTGCCCCAACCTGCGCAACACAGGAAGTGTGTGTCTCTGTGTTCCTGTGCTGTGTGTTTGTGTGCATTAGCTGCATGTGTGCAATTACTTTCTATGTCCGAGTATCAGGACAAATTGCATGTTGCGCGTAGTCAGATTATCCCAGAGACGCATTTTCGTTGTAGCTTGAAAGCTGCAGTGCTGTGTCCGCACGGTTTCCAGCCGAGCTTTCCAGATGTGCACGTAGAATTTAAAAGTCCAGCCACTTTAGGTCATTTATTACTTTTGCCCCGTGCCAGCTGAACAATGCATCACGTGTGTTTCCTGCAAACACTCGCAGAAGTTTTCTTTCAAATGATTGTGATTAAGCGGCTCTGCATTGTGCGCCTTGTGTTCCTCGGCCGTGTAATTCACATTGTGACCAATGAAAGGCTCATAATTACATGTTAACACCTGAGCGCCGCACCCTGTGTGAGCCACTGAATCCCCATCAGTCAACTGGCTGTCCTCCACCCTGAACAGTGTTGGCTTTAACCGCATGCTGCTTTCAGCAATCAGCAGCTCCTGCTCTCACTGCTGAGCAAACACAGCAGCAGCACAGAGCTGTGCACTCAAAGTTTGTAGCTTCAGGGCTGGGGTGGGCCACTCGTGTGTGTGTGTGTGTGTGTGTGCATGTGTGTGTGTTTGAAACTGTAGGATATCATCTAAACAAACTTTGTGTTTCTGGCCTAACATTCGCGATTAGATCTTTAGGCTCAGATTTGTGCAGACCCTTTACACACCACCTCTCTCTTTCTCTTTTGCTCTTCTTCCACACCCTCGCCCCCCTTCCTCCATCTCTCTGCTTGGCTTCTCCACCTCATTTAGCTGACTGACAGAGGCGTACGGGGAGTATCAGGTTAGGAGCGAGGGGGCAACTACAGCCATTCATCTTGGAGGCATTTTTTTTTTAAAAGCTGCTAGAAAGCCGCTTTGATTTTAAGGAAGAGTCAGTTCAGTTGCCGTGTTGAGCTTAAACTGCCCTCATCAGTCAATCTATCGTGTCCTTGTGCACGAATCAAAACGCAGTTTTATTGTTAAAATTTTCTGCTTTGCATTCGTATTTCCCAGCAGTGAGCATCAGCGCTGCAGCGTTGGCGTTGGGTCACTATAAGAGGGTCACTTGAGGAAAGCAGCACATGTGAAAAGTTGCGTTTAATAGCAGACTGCATCAGTGGGCGAAACGCAGGCATAAGGCAGAGACGGGGAGGTGCACTTTTAGGTTTGTCCTGATGAAAGGAGAGGTTGCGCCTGAGGAGAAGAGCAGAAAATGTCCGTGCCAAGCTTGTGTAATATTTAAAGTGAGCACAGACGGTTCCTGGGATGAGCTTCTTTTCATTGGAAGCAAACTTAATAGAGGTGCAATTTTATGTTGCATTGTTCCCGAACACAGCCCCGAGCAGTTTTCACAATGTTCACTTTTCATCACTCAGAAATGAAACTGACAGGAAAATTTCCCCTCCGCCCCTCCACCCTCAGCTCTGTGCACATAGAGGATTTAAAGCTCTGCTTGCACAGCAGTGATTTGAATGGCTTGTGTACACAGTTGGGTTGTGCCTATTAGTAAGAACTCGGTCTTTCTGATGCCTTTACTGGTTATCGCTTCTAACAGTGCCAAGGATCAAGGTGCATCCATTATTCAAGACTCCTGGCTTGCACACTTGAGCCTGAGCCAGTTTGTGTGATCAACCATCACATTTTGGCTCGTCGCTGATGAATCTTTTGCGACTGCCGCGATTAGCCCTCCGCTCCTTCACTCGGAGTCGTTGTCATCCACCTGCACTCAGCCTAATGCAGCTCCAGCCTGCCAGGCGCTTCAGAAGCTGCTCTGTGTGATGAGTGGCCATCAGATGCTTTAACAGAGATGAAAGCCAAGCCCTGTTTAATTGCCCCTGGAGGGGTCCATTTTATGGTGTTCCTCGGAAGTCCCAGAGGCTGTCTGTGAGACATCTTTGAGGTTGGCCAATAGTCACTTGTAGGGCCGAGTGCTGTGTGTGTTTATTTAAGTGGGTCATAATCACAGTCTTCAGTTTAACCCTTTTTGCTTCAGGGGAGCCAGAAGTGCACAGCTGAGGCAGCAGGTGTTACCAAAGTCCTTCAAACACCGCTGTGCACTTATTTTTAAGCTAAATTAGTTTAATTAAATTTTACTGGTCACCAGGAATCTGAGAGTTTCCACCAAAATAAGGTTTCCAAAAGCCTTTCCCCCCTGACTTTATCCATTTACTATCACGTCTCGGGTGTTTCTGTGATCAATCTGTGCTTTTAAAATTTAAGTCAATCCCCCATCAAAACTTTTCTGTAATCTTTTGTGTTTTCTCTCGTTTTGTTTTGCAGTATTCGACCGAACTGAAGAAGTTATACTGCCAGATCGCCAAGACATGTCCCATTCAGATCAAAGTCCTCACCACTCCTCCCCAGGGTGCCGTGATCAGAGCCATGCCTGTTTACAAAAAAGCTGAACACGTGACCGAGGTGGTGAAACGCTGCCCGAACCACGAGCTCAGCCGCGAATTCAACGACGGTCAGTCGAAATCCCACCGCCTCGTGTTTCACTTCGGCCGTCTTTGTTTGTTGTTGGCGTTTGACCATACGACTCGCGTTGCTTCCAGGTCAGATAGCGCCGCCGAGCCACCTGATCCGCGTGGAGGGAAACAGCCACGCCCAGTACGTGGAGGACACCATCACTGGGAGACAGAGCGTCCTGGTTCCTTATGAGCCTCCCCAGGTGAGCTGTCCATCAACCTACAGGGTATCCAAGCGACAAACGACTCGGATGGCGACAGACAGCGAGTTCGCTGTCATGTTCAGCTGCTCGACACTTCGCCAACCTCTCCGTCAAAGCTTTCAGTGCCGCCATGAAAGCTTCAAAGACGCACATTTTTCAAATACTGGTTAAACATTTGGATTCTGCATAATTAAACCAATTTAAATGACCCGAACCTGAAATATGTCCAAATACGACCTCTGTTTTTGCGCCTGCCGCCGTCACTCACCTGCAGTCTCATTCTCCTCCTCAGGTGGGGACCGAATTCACCACCATTCTGTACAATTTCATGTGCAACTCGAGCTGCGTGGGCGGAATGAACAGACGCCCGATTCTCATCATCGTCACCCTGGAAACCAGAGAGTAAGCCGTGCCGCCGCCACCTCCGTCGCCCCCCCTCGTTGGCCGTGCTTTGTTTCTGACAGAGGATGTCTTTGTCTCCCAGCGGTCAGGTTTTAGGGCGCCGTTGCTTCGAAGCCAGGATCTGCGCCTGCCCGGGCCGCGACCGCAAGGCCGACGAGGACAGCATCCGGAAGCAGCACGTAACGGACGCCACAAAGAGCAGTGAGGGTACGAAACGCCGTAAGTAGGGCCGGGGCTGGTGACGGGCTGACGTGCTTTTGGTCTTCCTCGACATGCAGCTGGCGTCGAGGACTCTCACTAACCCGCCTTTTCCCTCGCTTCTTCCCCCTCCTGCTCTGTCTTAGGTCGACTTGTTCTCTTTAGCACGGCGGCCGCTGTATTCACGCTCTCCTCTTCTCTTTTTCAGCCTTCCGACAGGTTTCCCACGGCATACAGATGTCCGCCATCAAGAAGAGAAGATCCACAGATGAGGAAGTTTTTTGTTTGCCTGTAAGTGTGGCTCCGCTGTCTCACACGGCTTGGGGTGCGTCTGAGCTGCTCACTGACCTCTCGTCTTATCTGTTCCCCTCAGATTAAAGGACGCGAAATCTATGAGATTTTGGTAAAAATCAAAGAGTCGCTGGAACTCATGCAGTTCCTGCCGCAGCACACAATAGAGTCATACAGACAGCAGCAGCAGAACCTCCTGCAGAAACAGTGAGTACCAGAACAGATTCTTGGTGGAGTGAAACACAGATGTGCAGAACGGGCAAGCTTCACCGTTGAATTCAACTGTTTCTTTGCATGCAGCTGCACTCTCTGCCTCAGTAAACGTCTTCTTTGCTTGTGCGGAGGTTTGTTTGTCTTTCGAACGCAGGGCACTGATGACTAACTGACTGAACATGGCTCACTTGTTGCTTGAATTGTGGATTGCACTGATAAATGAGACTTCTTGATTGTATTTACTGCCGCCGCTGAAGCGTTGCAGCTAGAAGAGCTGATAATAAACGCTCTGGAGTAGGTGTTAGCCAGCGTTTCCCAGAATTTACTCCGAATCAGCTCAGCCTCGCGTCCAAGCAAAAGCTGTTTTTTGTTGGTTTTTTTTTTGTCATTTTCTTTCCTCCTTCTTGCTCTCTCTCATGGGACACGAGCCAACACTGATGAATCGTGACAAATGTACCTGGCTGCGCTTTGTTAGGGAGACGCTTCCAGAAGGTTCCCGGTAACGCCTTTGGGTGCTTTGCCAAGTTTTTACACAACAGCAGCAAACAGAATCCGTGCCTCGGCCTCATCTATCGGCTTCGGCGTAATTAAAAGTGTCTCAAACGCACACGTCCTCGTCCCGCCTCCCTTCTTTCACTGTAAGCTATGGAAACGAGGAGATGGGAGTAAGTGATAGTTTGACAGCGCTGTGATGATAATTACTGCTTATGTTCTAGTTTCCCATTAAGAGAAGGCAGACAGCCTCGCAGTGACGTAGTGCTTGCACTCGCTGTTTTTCTTTGACTTTATTTCTGTTTTTGCTGCCCGTCCGCCCTTCAGTACTAACAAGAGCTTAAAAAGCAGACGTTTAATTTCAGACAGAGAGTGCAGAATTTTTGAAGAGTTTTTCAAATTCGACACTATCAGATTTTGATGCCAACCCCCAGAATCTTGGGATTTGGTGTTTATCCTTCTCCCGTTTGTCCATTTTTGCATGCTTTTCCCAGTTTTCTTTGTAAAACCTTTGACCTGTTGGAGTTTATTACTGTATTCAGCATTGGAAATAAAAGGTTCTGTCAACAGCAGTGTTTCAGACCTTTCCTTCTTTCCCTTTAAATGTCAAATAACACCATTCTGTAAAAAGGCTGTGATCTGTGTGTGCATACTGCCATCTTCTGGACACACATGTTACTGCAGTACAGTAGGAGTTTCCTGAATCTCAAACTTGAACATTTGTAGAGTTTTCTGAACATCTGGACCTCTCTGGGGTCCCTCGCTCCTTCCTCCTCCTCCTCCTCTGTCAGTGAGCCCTTATTTCTGCTCTTCTCTCTCTCTCTTTCTCTTCTTTCTGGTTCCTTCCTGCAGCCTGATAAAAACCCGTCTCGGTAGCCAGCTCCTGGAACCTGCATTAGAGCAGAGACGGCGGTGCAGCTCCTCCTGAAATCCACATTCCTCCTCTTCTTCCTCCTCCCTCGACTTAAACGGACCTCCTCTCCGCCTCCTTTTCATCAACTCTGATTTCTGTGACCTGCTTCCTCCTGTGCGTCCCGGGACTCTACACCGAGGATGTGAACTTTCTGTTTCTCTCTCTGCTGCTGCTGTAAATGCTGGATGATCACGTCTTGTTTTTATTCAGCCGCGACAGACGGTGTGAGGGTTTCGGTAGGCTGCGGGCCTGCGTGATCCCCCTCCTAATCTGAACTGAACTGTAAATGAACATGTGAATTGCATGCATTATTTTTATCCACAAAGACTGTACTTTGTGGACAGGAATCATTTTAGATTTCTTATTTCTTACTAAGTGTGTTGCGTCTTTGCATTGTTGCGAGAGCTGGACTCAAATCTCTAGATTTTAATTTTGAGTTGGTTTTTTTTTTTGCTGATGCTGGTCATGTTTTCTAAAGTCACTGCGGGACAGTTTGTGTGCTTGTTTTTTCATTTTCCTCAATAAAAGATCTCCTTAAACGGAGGAAGATGTGAACCGTTCTGTTTAAAACAGATGATTTTACTCAGCTGCTGCACTTTGTCTGTCAGATTCTAATAAATGGGGTTTTTCGGCTTGAATTTTTCTCCGTTTATAAGTTTGCGTTTGCTGATTTTTGTCGAAACATAGAAAGTTAATGCTGCAGTTAATATTAAGAGTTTCACTTTCAGGTTTGATGAATGCAGTGATTGTGACACCCACTGCTGATTTTCCCTGTTGTTCTGTTGGAAAATGTGCCTGTTAAGAGATGAAATTGGGGCTAAAGCCTTTTTATTGTTGGAGACTCGAGTAGTCCTGTGCTGTGTGCTCTCACTGGAGTCTCACTGGTCATTAGCAAGACTCTAATGACCTACTACATTTATTCAGGTGTGTTGCAACAGGGACACGTGCAAAAGTTTCAGGACACTGGCCTTCGAGGACTGGAGTTTGACACCTGTGTTATAGACTGTGTAAAGCAGGGGAAGGTGGGGAACTCAAGGCCTCGAGGGCCAGTGTCCTGCAGGTTTTAGATGCGTCTTTGATCCAACGCAGCTGATTTAAATGCCTAAATTACCACCTCAACATGTCCTGAAGTTTTCCAGAGGCCTGGTAATGAACTAATCATTTGATTCAGGTGTGTTGACCCAGAGTGAGATCTAAAACCTGCAGGACACCGGCCCTCGAGGCCTGGAGTTCCCCAGCCCTGGTGTAAAAGATGGATGTAGCTCCTGGATCAGAACGGTGAAGCCAGCGTAGCAGTTTCATAAACCTGTCCAGCAGGAGGCGACTCCTCTGCAGGAGATTAAGTCTGCTGGGAAAAATCCCTCAGCTTTTTGATGGCGTGATGATCTCAGGCACTACTTTCAGCTCACACTGAAAATTATGATCGTTATTAGAGTCAGAGGATTATTCAGCACTTATTATTAGAGTGCTAATAGCCAGCTAGTGAATCAGTGTGCAGTTTCCATCTGGTTTTTACTCTGATCAGCCCCCTTCGCCTGTTACATCTGGTTTGAGAGCTTTAGAACAGATTCTACGTCCATCTTTTATATCCCGTGTGGTCGAAGGAGAAATTCTGGGAGAAAGTAGTGAAACGATAAAAAACTAAGTTGCAGTAGAGATGCGTAAAATATTTGTAATATTTCCATCTCCTTGGCTTCCTGGGGCGAGGGTCTGGTGACAGTAGCAGGGAAGACACTGATTGTTTTTTTTCTGTATCATTAGAATAAAAATGTTTCCATGTTGTTTTCTGCTGAATGCTGTCAGTAACCGTCACCTCCTCCTCTCTCCCACCCCAGAACCTCCATGTCATCTCAGCCCTCCTTCGGCTCCACCTCGCCCACTCCCGGAAAGGTCAACAAGCTGCCCTCCGTCAGCCAGCTCATCAACCCCCAGCAGCGTAACACGCTCACTCCGTCAAGCATGTCTGGAGGCCTCACTGACAGTAAGTGCGCCACCTTCTTTCTCCTCCCATCTCTCTCGGGTCGTAGACGCCCCGCGCTCCCCTAAATCCCGTGTTTCCGGGTTTTTTGTAAAGATGGCGGGTCGAGGCAGGCGGGAGGGGACCTGAACGCTTCACTTCCCCTCCCCCAGTGCAGCTTCCTTACCTGTTATGATGCATTATTAGTCAAGTACAGAGTGACCTCTGCACGCCCCCGCACCCCAAAGGCTCACAGTAGCTCCTCTTGTCTCTGCAGTGACTCCCATGATGGGCACTCACATCCCCATGAATGCCGACATGAGTTCACTGAGCCCCACACACGCCCTGCAGCCACAGCTGCCCCTGGTGCCCTCCTCCCACTGTACCCCCCCTCCTCCATACCCCATGGACAGCAGCATCTCCAGGTACCTCACCAAACCACAGCGCCACACATCCACTCATCACCTTTAGTCCTTTCTGAAGACTCTGTGCTCGTCTTCAAAGCGTGCGGAGGCTCAACAACACACAGCGAGCTGATCACGTGACCAAACGCATCTAAGACCGCTTTGTTTTCACACTTTTTCATTTTTTAGTTCATTTTTTTTTTTCTGACAGTGGTTTCACCAAGCACAGCCCCCTCACTTTTCAGCCAGTCACACTCCCTCGCCATCGCTACAAAACTGTAGATTTATGGCTGCACTGATCAGACAACACGATCACTGATTGGACACAATTCTGTGCGTTTTGCTGTAATTTCGGACTATTTGTACGCTCGAGTAAATTAAACCCCAAACACAACAAAAAAAATTCTTTGGAAGGAGGCGGGAGGAACGAAGCAGCTCGCAGAGGCGGGTTTAAACCTCGAGCTGCGTGTGACGTCCGTTCCCACTTTCTGGTTTTAATGCCAGCGTGGTGAGAGGGGGGCACCGGGAAAGTCCACTGTCAGAAACAAACACGACACCTGAGAACGATCAGTGACGCTTCACCTCTCGTTAAATGGAATTTATTTGAAATGACAGTGTCATTATAGTTACCTACAAATACTTAACGGTAGATTTATTAGAATAAGGGAACAGTCGAGTCATAATTACGGCAACAGAATAGAAAACAATAGAAACTAAACATAACCGTGCAGATTGTAAAGGTGACCTCACTGGACTATTTAAAGAATTACACTGAGCATCAACAGAGCGACCTTTAAGCTTTATTCCAAACATACCGAGTAATTCCGTACGTATTTCTGGTGAGAACCTCTAAAAATGTCAAACTCTAACACGCTCCTCCTCCTCTTCCTCCTGCAGCTTCCTTATTCGGTTGGGCTGCGCCGGCTGCTTGGACTACTTCACAGCACAGGGCCTAACCAACATCTACCAGATTGAGAACTATAACATGGAGGTGAGCCCTTCCCTATCCAACACGAGTCATTTGATGGGTTAGAGAGAAGATTGGCTCCCCCTGCGAATACTAACGCTCCCCTGTGTAATGACCATTAGGACCTGTCCAGGCTGAAGATCCCTGCCGAGTTCCAGCACATCATCTGGAAGGGCATCATGGAGCACCGACAGGCTATGGATTTTTCCCCTCCTCCCCACATAGTGCGCACCACCGGCAGCGCCTCCACCGTCAGCGTGGGCTCCTCCGAGGCGCGGGGCGAGCGCGTCATCGACGCCGTGCGCTTCACCCTGCGCCAGACCATCTCCTTCCCGCCCCGCGACGAGTGGTCCGACTTCTCCTTCGACCTGGATTCGCGCCGCAACAAACAGCAGCGCATCAAGGAGGAGGGAGAGTAAGACGCAGCCACCGCCGCCGCTGCGTCCCCACTTGTCATTTCACGCCTGCTGATGAACATTTCATTTGAAAACCTGCTGTTTAGTGCAAATCCTGCTGAGAACAAACACACAGACGCACTTACTTTCATTTTGTCCCGCCAAGTTATTTTAAAGGTGTTGAGCAAAAGGTGCATTTTTTTGTTTTTGTTTCTTTTACATTTTATTGTTATGTTGTAATTTCTTGAGAGCACTTAAGAAATGCTGAGGACTTCCCAGATTGCTTTGAGGTTTCAAGTGTTCACGATTCATTCCTGAGTCAAAGCGTGAATGGAACCGCGTAAGAGGGCTTTTATTAGGGCTGTGTTTCTGCTATGGGCCGTAGCAAAAGTGTATTTTAGTTTGTAACCCTTTTTTAGTCGAGTACACTGGTTTTCGCTCGTGGCAGGAGTCATTTCAAGCATTTCTTCTCAGAAGTATTACGTCAGCTGATGGGCGATTTGTTTTTCTGCTGTAGCTTCCGTATTTTGCTTTTTAAAAAAATGTTTTTTCATGTGTTGTGAGACCAACGCATCGCCTTGAAAGGTCTGTTTGTGAAGTGTTTGAGTGCGTGCGTGTTTAAATGATGGTATTTCATTTGATGTAGCCACATATAGGCCTAACACTCCACCCAGTGTTTCACAGTTATGACTGATGTCGTTTTATTCTCGTTTATTGCAGAGCAAAAGTATTTTTTTGATCTTTTGGTAGAGGAAACTGGAGTTAAATGTATATAAATTTGTATAGTTCTGTTTTTTTAACTTGCTCTAAGGGAACTGCATGATTTCCTTCATGAACCAAACTGTTTGGTAGCTTTATCACTAAGAACAATGTATTAATCAGTTCACAGGAGTACATGCAGTGTGTCTGTGTGGACACAGGATTTAGCCCAGCTTTCTCTCCAGTAGTCTGCATTTGTTAGAAGCAGAAACCGACTGCAGTTTCATATTTTTGTACAATGTATTGTAAATATGTCTCATTATATCGAGGGTATTTTGATATAAATCTGAAATAAATATCCATACTTGCTGTATTGCATGTTAACACTCCTGTGTGTCAGTTTATTTCTGCGTTGAACAAACTCAAAGATATCTCGAACTTATGTGGCTGACGTCATTTCAAGAAGTCACACGAAGCTGTTTAAGCGTCGGAGCACTGCTGCATGTTCTTTTTATTCTTTGAGCAGAAAGGACAAACACAAAAGCAGGACTGAAACCAGCGAGGAGGTTGAGCCTCTGAAGTCGACAACTAAAAGGTTTCTGTGTAAAGAAAAAAGAAGCTTTAAAGTTGTTTGCAAAAAGCAACAAAGTGCTTCTAAGAATCTGCACAAAGAAGTGAAAGAGACTCTTACCTGTCTTACCAGAAAAACACAACCTAAGATGAACTAAGGACATTTTGCACCATGTCATTAATGAGAAATAACCAAGTCAAAACACAGAAGCAAAACAAAAAGCCTTGGAACTGCGAGATGGCGAGCTTTCTGTTTACCACGAATCTACACGTTACTGAGACGCTCTTAAAAAAAATTAAATAGACTCTTTGTTATCTGCATGTGGAGGTCTGAGGGATCTTCCAGGAATGGTGAGGACATTTTCCAGAGATCTGATTGTGTACATTTTTTTTTTTAAATTGGAAAGAACTACAGTTACCTAACAAAGGGTAACTAACTCCTGCTACAGAGTCCAATTCTCAGAAGAACCACCTTCTGTGTTGGTCTACAAAGAAAAAGAAAACAGCTGTCAACAGCTGGGAACGAAATTACTGGGAACACGATGCCTTCACTGCACACCCAAAAACAGGAAAAGCTGCAATTGCCTTTGTTTGTAGCTGAAATGTTTGGTTTTGAAAAAAACCTGCAGTAACTTTATAAGCTACCTGACAAAAGTAGGAGGCCAGCTCTTTGGCAAGAGACAAAGAAAACAGAAAAGGCTCCCAGGATGACAGGACTCACAAACAAGTTTCAACAAGAGCTTTACCTTCCACACAAGTAATCAAACAATATCAGGCAAACCAATAAATTACAAGCTGCTTCCAAACAGCTCCTCAATGTTTTACTGAGATGAGGAGACTTGGTCAAGCTGTGCCTTTTTAGTGGTGCTACTGTGACACTGAGAAGTATGTGAAAAATCAAATTCAACAAAAAAAGTCATCTACTGTACCTTTTACACATAAAAACACCATCTGCAAATCTACAGAAGACATTTGTCTTTTTGATGACCTGCAGGACGCCGGTGCAGTGACAGAACCACAAACTATACAGAACACAAGGACAAAGGCTTGAGCTGTCATATCATCTTGGTATTAGCTAAAAAAACAAAACAAACAACAACAAAAACAGACCAGAGGAAAACGTTTGAGCCAAAGCTTTAATTCTGCCTGCATTCCTCCTGAGCGACGACACTTACTGTTTGTTTAGCTATTTACAGACAATGCACACAGTGAAAACCTCGAGTCTGAGATCATTACACTATTTACAAGTTCAGAAAAATAGGATCTGAATGTTGTTTTTACATTTTATATAGACTGAAGCAACGTGATCAGTCTATGTGGGGAGTCCCCGTCCTCCAGCCCACAGCTATTCTACCTCGGCGACGTGAGCCACCTCCACCTCCATCGTCTGAATCACCTCAGGGTTTTCCTCGAGCTTCCCCCCCGTCAGCGCCTGCTGGGCCAAGACGTAGTTCACGACCTGCATGATGCCCTGATCCGAGAGCGTCGCCACCGAGCCGTCGCTCACCGCCTGCACAGCCTGGACGGCCTCCATGGCCTCCACCGTCTCCTCCGTGATCAGCACCGTCTCGATCTCCTCCGAGGACGGCTGCTGCGCAGGCCGTAGCTCGGGGGGCAGGTCGGACGCCAGGATGCTGACTGCGTGCTCCACCTGTGTGCCCTGGTTGTGAAACTGGAGGGTGTCCTTCTCCAGCATGATCTTCCCAGGCAGGCTGTCCACGTGGTACTTGGCCATGTGCTTGCGTAGAGTGCGTGCGTCGATGTGGGCCTCCTGGCACATGGGGCACACGTATGGACGCTCTCCTGTGTGAGTGCGGACATGGCGCTTGAGAGAGCGTGCATCAGCCCAGGCGACACCGCAAGTCAGACATTCGAAAGGCTTCACTCCTTCAAGAGAAAAAAAAAAAGATGAAGGGGTGTTAACGATCGCATTTATAGCACAGAAAACTAATTCGCCGCCCTCACAGGACAGCAGAGTCAACAAGAGTGACGGGAGGTCTCATTTTAGGTTACGTTGTTATACGTTCGTACTTTAGCGATAAAAAGCATCTTCTACATGAGAAAAGCTGCATGACGGACTTACCCTGGTGGTTGTTGATGTGGCGTCGGTACTCCCGGAGCTGCGTGAACTTCCTGCCACAGTGCTCGCACTCTCTCTCCAAATTCTGCTTCACTCGGCCCTTCTTCCCGTGCGTGGCTTTCTTCACGTGCCTCCTGAACAGAGCCTTCTCGAAGAACTCCTTTCCACAGACGTTACATCTGACGACACAACAAGGGCGTCACTGCAAAGCGCACGATGCAAAAACCGAACGGAGATCAAAGCCAGCCAATCGTGTTGTTGCAACAACCATAGCATTTGTAACTGTCCCCACCTCCCAATTTACATCACTCATTAACCGTGAAGGAGTTTAAGTGAAATAACGGTACCGCTTACTTTCCTTTACATGTTTCCATGGCAGCGAGTTTGGTTTTATTTCAGCTGGTATGAAATCATTGATAATCGGCACCAAGAAAAGCAGAACATGAAGTTCTGAAGGATGGTAAAAATGTTTTATAATCAGCAGAAAGCTTCATTTTGTTTTTCAGTGTCACAGCAGGAGTGAAAGCAAAAAATGTGGCTGTTTGGAGAAGTTTTGGGGAGGGGCCACCATTACGTATCAAGTTCGTCTCAGAGGTCTGAAGTTGCATGGTGATAGGTGTCTCAGGGCGCTCCTGTTGTGTTGTAGGAGTAAATTCCCTGAAGCTATTCTACTTCTGATTTCTGGGATGTGACTGGTGCACATCACCCCTGTCACACTTACTTATAAGGCTCGGCGACGCTGTGGGACTTGACGTGCGAGTACCAGTCCTTCTTCCAGCTGTAACATTTCCCGCACACCTGGCACTGGAAAGGCTTCAGGCCCATGTGCTTGTTCATGTGCTGCTGCAGATCTTTGGCTTCGTAGAACCTCTTATCACAACTGTGGAAGAGAGGAAGCAGACTGAGACCGCAGCTCGGGCTCTGAAGCAAGAGGACGGTGTTGATGAAGAGTTACTCACTGTTCACAGGCGAACGGCCGGACGTCGGGTTTGGGTTGGTGCTTCTTCAGGTGTTTGCTGAGAGCGGAGGCTCGGTGGAAGGTGGCTCCACACGTGGTGCAGAGGTACTTCGATTCACCTGATAAGGAAATGGGGATGTTGTCATAAAGCCACTGCAAACGACTGAGCCAAGATTTTTTTATATAACACTATAGACACTTTGTCAGAGCGGTAATCAGCTGCCTCTCCTGACAGCTCCGCAGCCTCAGAGCATAGCGGCACATGAACCCAAGAGCTCTACTGCAAAGATAAAACTCAAGTTCAATTCAATTGAACAACAGGGGCCTCAAGACACTTTCTATTGTAAGTTAAAGACCCAAAATAATACAAATAAAACAGAAAACCACCAACAATCAAAGTTAAGCGCTTTCTCCATCGTGAAAGAGGCTCTTTTTCTCCTGGCTAAATCACCGTGGTAACTGATGCTGAACACATAACCTGGTCGACTACCACCATCATGACAGTCATCATCTCTGTTTAAGGTTTTGTTGAGCCAACCAATGTAAAGAAAGCCTGTTTTGAACTCAAGTTTGACCCTCCAGTCTCCACCTGCTGAGCGTTTGTTCAGTTCACAGAGGGTCTCAAAGCCAGTGTTGGGCAAGTTACTTTGAAAAAGTAATTAATTATAGTTACTAGTAGAGCTGGGCGATATGAGATTTTTTCATATCACGATATGTTTTTTTCATTTCAGGCGATAACGATATCTATCACGATATAAGCCAAATAACTATATTTGTAAGATTTAAATGTGCCGTTGCTCACAAGTAAAATGTGAAATAATCAGCAGCTTGTTTTTATTTAAATATTTATTTCCCATAATAAGTTCAACAGGGTAGATGTACTTAAGGAACATGAGACTTTTTCAGATAAATAAAGGCAAATATTGCAAACTACACAAAAGGCAGCCACTAAAGCGTTTAAGTTTCAAAATAGAACAAACAAACAGACTAAATTGTCAATTCCACTTAGAAACAAAATATTAATTCTAAAAATAAATCTTAGTTTGTTTTACAGAAGAACAGACAAAACTGACTAACTTTTGTCAATATCAAATAAACTGAGAACTAAAAGGAAATTCTCAATCTCTCCTTGTTGTATAGCTTAGCTTTTCAAACAGTTGTAACAGTTACTTTAGTCTGACAAAAGCCGAATGACGAATTAGCGCTTCCAGTCAGAGACTGAGGCTACGTCCACACGTACACGGGTATTTTTGAAAAACGAAGATTTTCCGTT